CTGCATACAAGCTGCTAACACACAGATGTTTACTTAATTGTTAACTGTAAGTATACAAGCTGCTGACACAAAAGTGTTTACTTTAGTGGTAACTGCCTATCATTTCTAAGATTTTGTTGTTGTTTTTAAATGCTATTATATCTTTATAAGTTGGCATGGTAAATAAAATACCTACAGTCCCAGCTACTTGGGAAGCTGAGGCACAAGGATCACTTGAGTTCAGAAGTTTAATACCAGCCTCCAGATCTCTAGATAGAGCTCATCTTAAACCACAAAGAAAACATTACATACATACATACATACATACATACATACATACATACATGACTTCCAACAAGTTGTGTCTTAAAGCAAAAACAAACAACTAAAAGTTTTTATCTTCGATAAGGTCTAAATATAACATAACACTATATATCTAGTAGTTCTTTCAAATGTTACAGAGGGAAATGCAAAAAAAAATGAAAAATTTTTTAAGAACAGAAATGGCATTATTAAGTAAAACAGACATTTATAATGATTACTAATTATAAAGAAAAGAATTTTATTATAATACAGTCAAGATAAAGACGGACAGTGTATATCATAGACAATAAAGTTTTATTTTACATGTACCTTGTGTTGGTTTGGATGAGAATGACCGCCATAGACTCATGTGTTTGAATGTTTGGTTCCCAGTTGGTGGAACAGTTTGGGAAAGATTAGAAGGTGTGGCCTTGGAGAAGGTGTGTCACTGGGGGTTGGGGGGAGGCTTTGAGCTGGGCTCCAGCACCACCCATGGCCACCTGCTGCTATGGCCCTGACACGATGAGGGAGCATCTGAAGCTGCAGGTAAGCCCCTAACTAGGTGCTCTCTCTCCTGAGCAGCCTCGGTCATGTTTCTCCATGGCAAGAGCAGAGTGAATGGTACACTGCTGACAGGCCTGGTTACGCTGGGCTTTAGAGAAGCGGAAGACTGACAGAGAAAAGCAAGGCTGAATGCTGAATAAGAGACTTACTGGGTCTCATCCTAGCAGAGGTCTGGAAATCAGCAGTGGGAAAACAGTGTTGACTATGGAGGTTTCCGCTCACCATGTGTCAGAAGGGAAGAATATGGCTTAGGGACTTACTCTTGTGATATTTTGACAAAGAATGTGGTTGATTTTTGCCTTTGTCTTAAGAATCTGCCTGAGGCTATACTATTTTGGATTTTTGTCATGGGCAGAAATTCCAAAACAACCTAGTATTGATTGTGTACTGTGGTTATTAATGATTACTCCCGTGCAGATCTACAATGAAAAAGAACAAGCAGGGAAGAATCACACAATGTACAAACAGAGGGAAAGAGGAGCATGAGGAAATTAATGTTGAAGCCAAGTCTTGTGCTCAAAGAGATGAGACGTTTAAAGAAAGGCCCAATTCAAACTGGAATAAAGGCAACAGTGACCTCAGGCAAGACCCCACTCAGCTAAGTGTCTAACTTGTGAAAAGAAAATGCCTAAGGAATCCTTGCTTCTAAAGGAAAGAAAAGCTTACTCAACCAGAAGAGCACCAACAAATCAAAGTTTATGAAAATGTAGTTCAAGGCAGGGCCAGGTCCCATCTCACGCAGAGTAGCAGAACTTGGCAGCTCTTCTCCAGGGCTCTAGCTTTAGAGGCAAGAATACACAAGTAAAGAGTAAAGTAAAATCTTCCTCCATGGTTAAGGAAAGATGCTGAGGCCAAGTGTGTGACAGGGGAGTAGCTACATGTAGGCCCAGAGAGGCCACTGTATGAAGCTGAGAAAAATCAAGTCTGGATTGCACTGGAGACCCACAGTGTTGAAGATGCCAGAACCCTGTGGCATATGTCAAAGAGAACTACAAACAGTGTGGAAGCAGTCCAAGAGAGAGAAGTGTGCTGTAGACATCAAAGTTGGAAGGAGTGGGAAATCTCAAGAGCCCTCTGTCATCAAACATGGAGATACAGAATTTGGAGTTTGCCCTGCTGTGTTTTGGTCCTGCTTTGGCCCAGTACTTCTTCACTGTGCTCCCTTCCTCCTTCTGGAATGGAAGTGTACATTCTGTGTCACTGTATGTTCAAGTATGTAATTTGTCTTTTGATTTTATAGGGGTTCCAATTAAGAGAGCCCTGAGTCTCAGAAGAAACTCTGGACTTTTACAAAGCCTTAAGACTGAAAGAGACTATGGGGGCCTTTGAAGTTGGACTATATGCACTTTGCATAAAGAAATAGCCACAAGCCTATGGAGGCAGGAAGTGGAATGTGATAGTATGAAAATGTAAATCATGCCTCGAGGCTCATATGTTTGAATGCCTGATTTTCTAGCCGGTAGAATCATTTGTGAAGGATTAAGAGGTGTAGCCTTGTTGGAGGCAGTGTGTCACTGTGCGGTGGGCTTGGAGGTTTCAAAAGCCAAGCCATTCCAGGCTATTGCACCATGTAAGCCCTCAGCTTCTGCTCCAGCACCGTACCTGCCAGATGTCATGCTTCCCACCATGATGTTCGTGGACTAATCTTCTGAACTGTAAGTAAGCTCCCAATTAAATGCTTTCTTTTATAAATTACTTCAGTCATGGTGTTTTGTCACAGCAACAGAAAAGTAAGACATACCATAAACTTAAGTTTGTTAATACCATCTCTGGTCCTCTACAGGATGCAATACTGTTTTTAGTTTATCAATTTCATGAATTTGGAAAACCCTACATGGCTGCTTTTATTAGGTCCTCAACAATCAAAACATACAAAGGAGAATGTGCTGCCCTTGCTTTGCACATGACATTCCCAGCAGCTGACACAGACAGTACAGGAAGGTTCTGCTTTAATCTTTTGATTAGAGAAACAGAAAAGCTGATGAACAACTTACTTGTATTTCTAAGCTTGGGTCTTTTCTTCCTTTTGAGATCGGGTCTCTCTACATAGCCTTAGCTGGCCCTGGAACTTGGTATATAGATCAGCCTTGCCTAAACTCACTGAGATCCTCCTGCCTCTGCCTCTTCAGTGCTAGGATCAAAGGTGTGCACCATCATACACAGCATAAGGTATTTTTCAAATGCAGATGTTAGTTTAGGTTGTAGAGGAATATTAATATTATCTATGAGTAGTATTCTCACACTGTGGATGTCTGCCTGAAATGTTCTTTCCTACATATATATGTATAAAAAAAAAACAGGATGCAGTCAGCACTCACTGGGACAAAGTACCATGAGACAGACAGCTGGAGTTCTCACCAATGCAGAGACACAGTTAAAATGGAGAAATATGCCAATGATGTCAGAACAAGGAAATAAAACAGATTGACACTCACCTCTGGCACAAACGAAACAAAAGCCTACGTTTACAGCAGCAGACTGACTACTCCGCTTGGAATGGTTACTACAGATGAGAATGTGCGAGGACACAGAGACACTTCCAGCAGCGACACACGCATCTCCAAAGTGATAGGCGACTGGGCATCTCAAGCACCTCATCATCCGGCCTGTGTGAAGACAGGGCAAGAAGCCATCTACAGCATGCTGGCTAGGACTGGGATAGGGCTCCCCCGCCATGTGAAACTGGTTACAGTTAGTACAGAATGCTCTCCTTTGCAAGGCAAACGCTGTGGCTGACCCATCATTCATATACCTCACAGTCCCTAGACTTGAGGCAAACAGTCATTCAGAGAATTCTCCAAAGGAATCAGGGCCTATTTCCAATACTGTACCTACACCTAAGGAAGGCTTTAGTGTACTCAGAATGTCTGAATTGACAACTTAACCTCTGCCTAATAAGTCAACTGTGTGGTTCAGCTTTTAGACTTGGAGATAGAGAGCTCCTGCAGTTTCTGACAGAGATGTGCTGAGCACACTGTCGCACTGCACTCTACACATTGTCCCTCCTTTGGCTCTGGTTACCTTTACTTGCTTTGTGGATGTCTTTCTCCATAGAGCAGGAAGAGCAACAATGCTGGGGACAGCGGAATCCTTTTGACTCAAAGATGGCAGTGGGGAATTTGCGGACACAGGCTTCATGATAAAACTTTCCACAAACACTAACAGAACAACGTTTCACATCCTTACCAGACACTTTACATGAAAAACATGGGTGCTGCCCTAGAAAATTGATTAAAAAAAAAAAGGTTAAGTAGAATCTGATTAAAACATATTCCAGTCAATTCATTGAATCATTCACAGTGCTGGGCTTCGGCCCAGGGCTGTGGACTTGCTAGGTGTGAGGACTCTACTCTGAGCTACATCCCAGCACTTGGTTAGCCATCAGATTACAGGTGTGTGTCTCCACATAAGCTAAATATTCCTTTTATATAGAAACAGCTACAAATATCAAAGAGCTGCACTTGAAAGAAAGTGCTACTACACTTCAGAATTTAGCATACAAAAAGAAACCTGAGGTTGGAGAGATGGCTCAGTGGTCATGACCACTGGCTACTTTTCCAAAGGACCTGTGTTTGGTCCTGAGCATCCTCAAGGTAGCACACAATTGCCTGTCCAGGACTGACATCCTCACGCAGATATACATACAGGCAAAACTCCAATGCACATGAAGTAAAAATAAATAAGCTATTAAAATATATATGTAAATTCCTATTTTAAAAAAGATTATAAAGACATTACTGTACATTTGCTAATTTGAAAATTCATATCAATGGGAAGATTCCTAGAAAAACAGAATTTACCAATACTGGAACAAAAATAAATAGAAGACTTTTGACTTAGTCCCTAGTCAATAAAACCATTTGGGAGGGATTAGGAGAGGTGTGGCCTTTGTGGGAGGAGATGTGTCATTGGGGGATGGGCTCTGAGGTTTCAGAAGCCCACGCCCTTTCCAGTCAGCTCTCTCTACATCATGTAAACTCTCAGCTCCTGCCCTACTACCATGCAGCCTGCCTGATGCTATCTACACTCCTTGGGACAGCACGGACTCACACTCTGAAACCTAAGTCCCCAATAACTCTTCCTTCTGTAAGTTACCTTACAGAAGGTCATGGCGTCAGACAACAATAGGGAAGTAACTAAGACAACTGGCTATGTTGTTTTAGATTGAACAACTGCTTCCTCACAAGCTTAAACAAAACCATGGCTGTATTAGAGAAGACACATTAACTAGCATATTTCTTTGTGTGCTATAAGAAGGCACTGGAACATATATAGTGGGAGAGGAAATCAGTGAGAAACACTAAGTTTAAAAAAACCTAACAGCAGATCTGGTATGGTGGTGTAGACTCTTAATCCCTGCACTGGAGAGGCAGAGGCAGGTGGATTTCTGAGTTAGAGGCCAGCCTGGTCTACACAGTGAGTTATAGGACAGCCAAGTCTACATAGTAAGACTCTGTCTCTAAAAAAAAAAGTTAATAGCACTATTTTTCCCACAAAATATGTAATCATATTTATAGTTTTACTATAATCATATTTAAGTTATTATATTTACATTATATTTAAATATTTACTGTAAACATATTAGAGTTTCAATCGATACTTGTTGAGTCTACTAAAGGACTTTAAACTTGTTTATTAAGCACACAGACAAACCTTAAACTGATTTACAAACTCAACAAACAAAACAAGTTGATTTTGTTTTGGATATGGGTACTTTGGACTGTTTTGACCTTGGAAAGCTGAATACTGGATGGTGTCTTGGCTGAAATACCTATAGGAGGGGAAGAAAACTGGCTTAAGCATGAACAAGTAAGTCACGGAGAGCCATCACACAGAGACAGCAGCTCAGCCCAGCCTTCCCCGCTCACCAGTCTCACAGTCCTCGCAGGTGAAGCGTCCCTCAGGGACTGCAGTCAGCCCCAAGCACTCCAGGTGAAAGTGTCTGCAGCACTCCCCCTCACAAGAAATAAGAGAATCTCCAGTGTTCTCACAGATCTGCAAGAGCAAGAAAACAGCAGTTTTCAAACTTGCACATCGGAATTGATCACGGTGCTTACTGAAGTATAGGACATGGGCTTTTTCTCCTAATAATCTGAGTTAGAAAGTCTACAAGAAGAGCCCAAGAATTGGCAGTTCTTTTTTCTTTTCCTTGTTTGTTTGAGACATGATTTCTCTGCAAAGCCCTATGTTTGGTTCCCAGAACCTGCATGGAGCTCACACACCCATCTGAAACGCCAGTTCCCCTTCTGACCTCCTCAGGCACCAGGCAAGCATGTGGTGCACATATCCTCATTCAGGCAAAACATAAAATTAAATAACACAAAAAATATTAAGAAGGAATAGTAGCTGGGCATGGTCGTGGCTCACAATGAGTCCAAAACTAGCCTGGTCTATACAGCAAGCCTCAGAGCAGGCAAGGCAATCATGTCTCAAAAGCAAAACAACAAAAACCTAATGAAGACTGAAACTTGCATCTGAATGACAAATATCCCATCAGGATGGGGAGAACCATGAACACCCTTTACACCTGTAGCTTTAAAGCAACATAATAAAATAATAAAAAGTACAGGAAACGAAGATACAGCTGGTAGAACTGAATCACGTTTATACATAGCCACCTGCCTACCTGACACACAGTGTCCTTCTTACTCATGCCGACGCCTCTCCGTGACAGACTCGAGTCCACCGACTGCGCGTCAGAAGCATCTGCGTCAGCAGCAGCTGACGGGCTATCTGCTTGTTTTCCAAAGCCTACCTATGTGGAAAACAAACAGCACAAGATAAAGAACAAACGGTTCCCTTTGACACAATGCAAAACCCAGTGAAACCAACTGAGTCCATCTCATCACCACCCGCCTGCCTTCTTATCTTCCTTCCTTCCTTTAAATGTTGTCCATCATTTGGGAGAAACTGCAGCTAATATTTAAAAGGCAACAATGACAAAACTCCTCTGTTATGCAAGAAATCTACAAAATAAGCTTCACATAAAGGGAATTTTTCCCCCTAGACAAGCTGTACCTTTAACCTCAGCACTGGTGAGCCTGAGACAAGCAGATGTCTGTGATTTCCAGGTCACCATGGTCTACATGGAAAGTTCTAGGCCATCCAGAGTTACATAGTGAGGCCGTGTCTCAAAAACAATTTTTTTTCCTAAGAGTATTGACTTTGTTGTTATTATTATTATAAGTCAGGGTCTCATAATTTAGCTCTGCTATCCTGGAACTTCCTATGTACCCCAGGCTGGCCAATAACTCAAGAGATCTGCCTGTCTCTGCCTTCTGAGCATGGGATTAAAGTTGTGTGACGCCGTAATTATTTAAAACAAGGGCTGAGGCATCTTGTTTGGATGGGCCTACAGTGTTAGAAGCTTGACTGCCCTACATTCTCCTACAATGGACCCTGAAAACCTGACTAGACTTTCCACCAGGAGAATGCAGCTGCTCATATACACACACACACACACACACATACACACACACACACACACACACAGACACACACACACACACACACACACACACACACACACACACACACGTGTATGTCCTGGAACAAGACTCTCCTCTTGGGGAAGGTCATTCTCTTTCAGTTTTGGGGAGTTGTATATGCAGAAGGGAAGAAAGGAAAGCCTACCCAAATAGGTAAGCTGAATTATTATGGTGACCAAGAGTTAAGGACTATCAGTTCACCCTCCCCGGATTCTCCCATGAAAGCATGCTACTGTGGCTGGCACACGAGCTGTCTGCCCAGACCCTAGCACACACTCACCTGCCCGTCACTCAGTCCTCTAGAATCGGAGTCAGATGTGTCTCTGTATGTGCAACTAGCCGTTTCTACATCAGTTGAGGCGCGACTCCTTTTCTTTAGAGGCTTACAGGAATCTGAAATCTCGCTGGCACCTTAACATAACACACTGAAATTAATCCTAAAATAGCATTTAGGGTTACTGTTTTCACTTTTTGTTTTTGCTGGTATTTTCTTTCCCCAAACTTGTCTTAAGTATATTGGGGGGAAATTCACAGCTCTCTGTAGCACTCAAGTTGCAAGCCAGGACTTTGTAAGTTTCTGACTTCCAGCAGTAAGTGATCCCATTCACAACTGCTCTATAAGACATTAAGCTCATTTTTGCTTGTCACCATTTCCCCCAACAGAGCCCAAGTTCCACTCTTAGACATCCATTCTATCCAAACTGAGAGACAGCCAATTGATTTGGAACAATTCAGAGAACCATTCAATTTTGTAAGGGGAAGACATGAAATCCAACACACTGTAGTTTACAGATACGGTTGCAGAGACACCTCCATCTTGTTTTATTAGGGATGTGACAAATCTTTGATTTGTATTCGATTCGTACACGGATAGTGCCATTTCAACCCCCCAATTTTGCAATTCGGTTGATTATTATCCCCCCAATAAATTTTGGATTTTCGTAATTGCTCTTTCTTGGTAAAGTGGCATTTATTGTGACTGTTAACAAGTGCTGCGGCATGTCTACAGGTCATGCCGTGTGGGAGGCACGTCACTGAGGGCTGTAATGGACAATCAGTGTTCAAGTGTGATAAATCATCAAAGACTGGATGAGAGGCCTCTGGACTTTGTGAGGGAAAGAAGAAATATATACTTGGGGAAAAAAAAGGCAGAGAAGAGTGTGGAAATTTTTTTTTTAAAACTGCGTGTAATACAAATCCAGCCAAAACAATAGTGCAAAAAGTTACAAAGCAACAATCTCTTGGGCTAATGCGGTAGGCTATACAGAGACAGCCACGATGAAATGTGCAGATCAGGCACTGTGAATACCAAGGAATCAAGGAGACGGGTAAGACTTCCACCCACAGTTTGTTTTAGACTCCCCCCAAACTGTCCATACAACAAACAGACATCTAGATCAGCCCAGCAAGCTGTGGTGGAATTGTGCAGTCCAGAAGAGACTGTGGAGAAACAAGTCTCCTGAGGCCACGAAGATCCGCAACAGGCTGAAGGGAGCGCTTGGTGTATAGCCATGTTCTGTGGTGGAGGATGTGGGTCTCGGGAGGCTGCTCTGGTTACTGGAACCTTCTCAGCACACCCCATCCTACAAGTTTGCACTGAATGCTTCCTGACAGCTACAAATGAGGGTGCCTGCCCATGTTAATGCTGATTAAAAAACACAAGTACACAAATCTATCTCTTTCATTGCTGGTATGTGGAACCAGAACACCACCACGAAATATTTCCTTGGCCTAAGAGATCACTGAATTAACAAGGAGTTTTAACAGAAGAACAGGAGTGCTGAACTGAGAGGCTTGCGAAGGGAAACACGGGTACCGCCAATTCCGATGAGTTTCTGAAAATGCCAGAAAAATGACAGGCCGCTGAAGGCAGCTGTCTTGTTGTTCTCCATGATAACGGCACTAATGTCAAAAAAAATAATAAGAGCTTTTAATGATTGCAATGTATACAGTTTGGGCCATTTGGCAAAACCCTGCAGATGTGTATTAATGATGCTTTATTTAAAAACAAAAAAACAAAACAGTCCATGTTGGAAGTGATCAGGGTAAAGTTAAATGGTGGGTTTTTTATTTAGGCTGGACCCATGATTTAAGCTGTACCCATCCAGCTCAGACCAAAAAAAAAAAAAGATAGAGAGAAACCATCTGAATGTTAAAGAAATTGTTCAGTCTTGAAGAAGAAACCAGGCCAGAGAATGCCAATAATGATGACTGGCAAAATCAAAATCAAAACAAAAGGAACTTTATCGAGCCGCCGACAAAGAACTCTTGCACGGAGACTCCAAGTCTGGAGTTTCTGGGATGAAATTGTACAGGAATCTCAGTCCACAGTTTCCTCTTTCGCTGCGGAGACGGAGCTGTCACTGAATCTGACAGAGCCCTGCGCTCCTCGGTCCGCCGACCCTGTGGAATGGTGGAAACACAACGCAATCAGGCCTCCTAATCTCGCAGCGATCGATCGCGATGTCTTTTCTTGGAGCTCCGCCAAGCAGTGTTCCCTCCGAGAGGCGTTCAGTTCTGCTGAGGATCTCCACGGAGACCATCGCTGCAGACTTCTCCCCGAGAGTGCAGACAGGCTGGTGTTTTATTTTATTTATTTTAAAATAATGCCATTTGCCCAGAGTAAACTACAGGTACTAAATACAGTTTGAGCTCACCAAAATTTCATGAATCATGCTATGGAGTTTGTACTATACTCAGGTTGCACACAGAAAACACATATATAAGTTTAAAGCTTCTTAAACTTTGTGCATATCTCAAAGAGATTTACATATGGTCATCTACTAGTGGCCATAGTTATGCTAAGGGTCAATTTACAGAACGATTGCACAGCACTGAAAAAGGGTGGCAACATTTTTTCCCAGTCAAGCTGTCCTGTCTGATTTGCCATAGTCCATTTTTGACAAACATTAATAGCTACTATTCGGTATTCAGTCGAATACCAAAAGAGTGGATTCGTCACATCCCTAGTTTACCAGTCAGTAAAGTCCCCAGATCTTACGGAGAAAAGTTGGAAACAGTACCAAGTCTACATGGTGTTCTCTAATTCATCAAAACAAGAAAGACTTTTTCACGTGGAAGTACAGAGTAGGATCAACTGTAAAAGACTCTCTCTCTCTCTCTCTCTCTCTCTCTCTCTCTCTCACACACACACACACACACACACACACACACCACGAGGAGGGTGAAATTCCACACTGAATAGCAACAAAGATTTACAAAGACAGACAAAAACACATGAAGCACAAATAAATCATTCTTAAAAATTGGTTTAATCAAGGAAATGCAAAGCAGCACCGTGAGAGTAACTCACCTTTCTGTAATCCAGTCTTCAGGGAAGCCTGAGGCGTTGTTTCAACCTGTTTGGACAGAAAAATACAACATTAACAGAGGGATTTTTCACTTGTGGAAAATAGAGGGAAAAAAATTGCATTTTCATCAATCTAAATAGTGATGAGTGATCGATGTTATTGAAAGTCTGAACTTAATCCCATCTCCTGGGTCAAGTTGTCTGTCTCAAGGTCAGGGAGGCTTAAACCCTAGCTGCCTGTGCTGAGTACCAAGTAACAGCGTAGCCTCATGCTTTTTAGCAAAGACTTCCCACCACGCCCCTGGTGCTTGAGGAGAACCAGAGTATTTTCCTCAGTGTCTGGGAGGCAGGCGAGGGCTGTTTCTGTGACCAGCCCCAATGTTGCTATGAACCCCTCCCACCCCAAAGACATTAGGATAAATGTTTACTTACTATGATACTCAGGTTAATGTAACTCACGCCATTTAAGACCCTTCCTTCCGCGCCTGCACTCACAGCTAAGTTGCTGGGAATCGGGACCCTCTCTGTAGAGAGTGCTACATGGCTCCATACAGCTGGAAGCTCAATACTTGTGCTGCTAGAACAAACTTAGTAAGTCTGTGATACTGCCACAGCACTTTCTTGAGTGTCTTATGAACAGTGTCTTGATCCTACATTCGGAGAGCGAGACCAGAAGTTATTCTGCCAATGTATATGTAAAGCACGTGGCACTGCAAGACTGGACCAGCGGGAGAGGGAAGAGATGCTGCTTGCAGAAGCTCCTGTTTAGGCTAGGATGGAATTTTATGTTTCTTTAAGATGTGAAATATGCATGTTGAAACACATTTTGTAAATATTTAAGGATTGTTCTAAGCTTTTTAAAAATTTTTTTTTTTTTTTTTACAACAGGTAAAAAAACATACAACAGGAATGCTTTTTGTACGATACAATTAGTTGTACAAATATAAAATCTTCTAAACAATCACTGGTATTAGTCTACTACTAGCTATATATAACACAGTGGCAGTAACAATTTGTCCCATTATTTTTACTCATTATGTTTATTTTAAACTGACTGGTCACAGATTGAATTTGGGAACCAGGTGGCAAAGTCACAATTTCATTTTGGTAACAAATACTATAGATTTGTCAAACTTGAATATTTTTTTCTTGGAATTTCCTATATATGGAAATTATATGATAATTGACAAATATTCCTGAAACTTTAGCTAAATATTCTCAAAAAAATGGTTTATATGCTTGTGATACCATAGAGCACCCACAAAGTTAGCTTTTAAATTTGGAAATTTAAAATTATGTAGATTTTAAATAAAAAAGTACATACTCTTCCATGGTAAATTGCTTTAAAATATTAAACTTACTGGAACTAAGTTTGAAATTTTAATACTAGATGATTGGGCTATAAAAAAATAAATATTCTAAAGCTGGTTATGGTGTCAGACACCTTAAGTCCCAGCAATGGGGAGGCTGAGGCAGGTGGATCTCTGTGAATGCCTGGCCAGCCTGATCTATATATTTCGTTCCAGGCCAGCCAGGGCTACATAGTGAGACCATGTCTCAAACAGTGAAGAAAGGAAAGAAAAGAATGGAGACCACCTCAGTGGCAAAGTGCTTACCTAAAAATGGATATTCATTCATTTTATAAAAATCAAAAAAAAATTCTGTGAGTTTATAATTGAATCACTTCTCAGAATTCTTTGAAAAGGTAATTTCACATGTATATTACTACATTGATTACACCAGTTGAACACATTCGATCAAAATGTAGCCCCTCCCCACACACTTGATACTTCAGCATTATCTGACAGTTTGATTCCAGATGAGTGCCATTCCACTGGAAAAAAAATAACATTTCAAAAGATCTGTGATACCAACAGAAAAACCAGACCATCTATGATTACCTGATTCTTAAATATAAGAATATAAATTAAATTAATTAATTTGATTTGTTTAAAAAATAAAAAACAATATATACCAGCAGCTTAAACCAAAAATCAAAGTTTTTAAAAAGGGAACTCAGTGATGGTTCCAAGGAAACCTCATGAAAATGTGAACTCATTGTGCTTATAACAGAAACTTCGAAATGAATGTCAGGGTCTTGCACCGCTGCCTTCCCATCTCCCAAACCTGTGCTCTGTGAAATGCTTGAAGCACCGTCACAGGACAGCTGTTTGAGAAGTCGCCACTGCAACCCCGTCAGGACAGATGGAAAGATAGTTCAGGAAGGAGGCCAAGGTGGGGAGGATCTTTCTTTGGTGACAAGAAATGGGCCACCGCATTACAGACAAGCTTTAACTCTCTACATGTGGGAAGCCAACCTGCTCCTTTTTGATCTTCTTCTTTGGCACAACCTCGGTGGATTTCTCTGACTCAGACCGAGTCCTGATTGATCTTCTCTGCTGCTTCTTTTCTACTGGGCCTAGGAGATGATTCAAGCACACACATAAGTAAAACAGACTTAAGGACTGTGTGACTCATTTGGTTAAGATCTGACCAGATTCCTGACTTCTAAACTCCATCATTTACAGAATTTTAACTAAAAGTCACTAAAAACTTTTATATACTTGAGAATGCAAAATTATTTAATAGCTCAAATAAGCTGAGGATGAGCTCTATAAGAGATCCTACTTACACAAATAAGGGGATTCTAGTTTAGTTTTAAAGTCAGGCGAAAACAGCAGAGGCACAGTTTACACTGACGGTGGATAAACACACTGAAGGAGGTGTGATGCCAGAGAGGAAGGCCATTACATGAGGCTAATCTCAAAGAGACAGAGAAAAGACAAACAAAAAAGGAATCATGGGAAACTATTTATAACAAATTTTTAATATTTTTTTGTGCTAAATAGTAAAATAAGCTTGTGTGTGTGCGTGTGTGTGTGTGTGTGTGTGTGTGTGTGTGTGTGTGTGTGTTGGGACAGGGTCTCACTATGCAGTCTTGGTGGACCTGGAACTCACCGACATCCAACTGACTCTGCCTCCTAAGTGCTGGGATTAAAGGGATGAGATTCCGGTCCTAAGATCTTTAAAACAGTACAGTTGTTTAAAAAATAAACTGATAAAAACTTACATGGACTTCATGTGAAAACTAAAGCTGACCCGGGAACTTGAAAGAACGCTGAGCCAGGAGTGAGTCTCCCTGGGACACCGGAACAGCGTACCTTTACTACAACCATTTGTCAGGTCTTTAGTGTAGCTGACCAAAATGCCCTTCCTACACAGAACCCACTTCCTGAGCCAGTAGAATGGCTCAGCATGTAAAAATGCACCACACCAAGCCTGATGACCTGACTTCTGTCCCCAGAACCCACATGGTAGAGAGAGAACACACTCCCCGGTGTTGTCCTCTGACCTTCAGCCATGTGCCTCCTCTACAGTCAGAGACGAATGTCTCCCACACAGCAATGCAGATAACCTTCACATCTCTTCATCTTATAGCTGAGTTACACAGAAAGGTTTTCCTTCACCTTAGCTCAAAGCCACTAAAAAAAGAATAACCCCACTACTTTGGTTTTCGAAGAACTGGTAGTTTGGCAGTACACATTTTATTTATTTTGTGTACCTGTGCGTGTGTATGGGTACACATGCCACAGTGCCAGTGTGGTGACCAGAGGACAACTTGTGGGGTAGGCCCTCTTCTTCTACCACGTGGATACTGGTACTCAAACTCAGGTCACCAGGTACCTCGACCCGCTGAGTATCTCCCTGGCTATTTTTCTTTTCATGTGTGCATGTATGGGGGCATCATGCCTGTGTACATGCACAGTCACATATATGTGTACAGACACAGGCGAAGGCACTATCAGGAATCAAACAAACCCAGGGCTATGGGCAGGTCTCCAGAGCCATCCTCCAAGGCTGGAAAATAGGCGGGCTACCTTACTCACTGGCAGTATGGCAACAGTGTATTTCAGGGCTTAATTAATTATTTCAGGTAATTAATCTGCTTCTAGTACCAAAGTCACAATCTAGTCACAGAAGTCATCGTGGAACCACCTTTAACTCTCAACTTTTCTCCTTAAACTGATAAAAATGTTTGCTAAAGCAAGAGATTGCCTGCCCTCATACTGAGAGACGCTGAGGGCTTCACAGAGCCCATGCTCTAATACGATCACCACTACTCAAGTACTACCTAGAAGAAGAAAAAGAAAACAACTGGGAAGCAATAACAAGCAAGCAAGCAAACAAAAACAGCTTGTGTGTAGGTGACATATGTGGGGTTGGCAAACAGTAAAAAAATCTGGTCACAGAAGTCACTGTACTTTCTCACTGTTGACCAGAACTGGATGGATTTTTTTTTTTTTTGAGATGGGCTCTCATGTAGAACAGATTAGCCCTGAACACACCACACAGTCAAGAGTGATCAGGAAGTCCTGACCTCCCTGTCTCCACCTCTCAAGTGCTGGGCCTCACAGATAAGCCAACAGTTTATGTGGTGCTGGGGATTGAACCAGGGCTTTGTGCATGCTAAGCAGACACTACCAACTGAGCACCTCTTAACCCTGACCTGTATCTCATAGAGGCTGAAGCAACATGACTTCTTAAGATTATTCTCGCCAGATGGTGGTGGTGGCATTGGTGGCACACACCTTTACACCCAGCACTAAGGAGGAAGAAGTAGAAGCAGGCAGATCTCTTAGTTTGAGGCCAGCCTCATCTAAAGAGCAAGTTACAGGACAGCCAGGGCTACAAAGAGAAACCCTGTCTTGAAAAACAAACAAACAAACAAACAAACAAACAAGCAAAAACCTTTCTGAAAGCTACCTAAAGAACACACACAATTTAAAACCACTAACAATTTTTACACTTATTTTCTAAAAGGGGATGTGTGTGCACGTGTGTGCATGCATTTGGACAGTAATGTAGTAACCCACTATGAATATAAATATCATTCTTCAAAATCACAGAAATGTCAGTGGTATACAGTTTATGTATTTAAGTTTTTCAAAAAAAAAAAAAAAAAAAAAAAAGCTCAAGGACTCTCGGCTTGTAGCCAAGACGACGAAACGACAGCTCTTAGGGGAAATGGTCTCGCTTCTGATCCTTGCACTACTAGAATTATCTCTACAGAAGAGGCGATCATTTACAAAGATGAAAGCATGCTTACCAGCCCAAAACCCATCCCTGAAAGCAGGTTCTAGTCAAACCTTAGAGCTAAGCTTTGTATGTGTGTCTAAGAAACCAGACAGCCTTTTTCTAAGTTCAAAGTAGAACATTCAACTTAAAGAAAACAAAGAAAAGTTCACGACAGAACTTGAAACTTACAATGAACAGATTACACAAAGACATAATAATGTTCAGTAGCTGAGGGGAAGGGAAGATTTCCATTAATAAAAATTGTGGCACTTAAGAAATGTCCAGTAGTAAATACTTTCTCCCTTTTTGAAAGACTATAGGTGTGTAAATAAAGATCTGACTATCCCACTTAACGTAAGACGAATTAACAAAGTTGCTATAAAAGCCAACATGCCTATTTGAATAGCTGTACCTCATTCAATTTGTGCCCATGACTGTGTGAATGACTGCACCCTGTCCTGCATCCCTCACCCTAGTTTTCAATAGCCACCCCAAGTCCTTTTCTTTCTTCCCTTTTTTTCCCTGCAAGACAGGGTTTTTCTGACTAGTCCTGCCTGTCCTGTCCTGAAACTTGCTCTGTAAACCAGGCTGGCTTCAAATTCAGAGATGTGCCTACCTCTGCCTCCTGAATGCTGGGATTAAAGGCTTACACACCACCCCTGCCTGTTTTCATAACAATTCAGATTTGACTTAGATTCAAGTCACAAAAATAACCCTCAGTTTCCTCCGTCACAGACTTGCCTACATTACTACTGACTCAAGATCTCTATTTCTATTTCTGCTTTCCAGACTCTGACTCTTCCAGATTATTTGATCAGTATGCTATTACAATATAATAAGAAGTATACTGAGCCAGTGACACAGCTCAGTGGGTAAAGGCACTTGTCACCAGAGACCCGCACTGTGGAAAGACAGAACCAATTCCTGCAGGTTCAAACTCCTGGGGAAGACAGACTGGAACCTAAATTACCAATAGGTCGTCTGTATATGCCAAAGCCTCCTAAAACCCTCTGAACTATAGCAATAGGAAAACTTCCAGATAAAGAAACAGGAGGGGCCTGGGAGGATAGAGTCTTAAGAAGCTCATAGAAACTATACAGCCCTTTGTCTGTCTGCACATCTGTGGTATCTTTAGTAACAATCTGGTAAGCTTCCATGAAGTGCTCACCTAAGTCCTGTGACCAAATGACTCAATCAGAGGAGGAAGTAGTAGCAATCCCAAAGGGTAGGCTGTCAACCAGAAACTCTGGAGACAGGGTTAGGGATGGTGGGTGAGGTCAGGGGATTTGGAATTCAAAGCTAGCCTGGGCTACATTGGAAGACTCCTGTTTAAAAACAAAACCAACCAAAAACAAGTCCTGGAGTCATCTGGAGTCTGCCATGCCTGGGGTATGGGAGCCGATGCTGGTTGGAACAGCAATGGGAGGTGGCAAAGGGCAGGGAGTCCAGGCAGACTGAGTTTCCTAGCACACTCTTAAGGAACCATACAGAGGGAAGCTTAAACCTGAAGGGTCTGGCATGGAGAGAAATGAATCAAGAGATGAAGTGGTACACCTTTAAGCCCACACGAGGGAAATAGAAGCAGGAGGTATCTGTGCATTCAGGGCCAGCCTGGTCTACAGAGTGAGTTCCAGGACAGCCAGGGTATGTAGAGAGACCCCGGTCTCAAACAAAACAAACAAACAAACAGACAAACAGACAGACAGACAAATAGGTTGCTTAGCAGGTGTCTAAGAACTGGTCAGTATGGGGGAAAATAATCCACTAATCTGGGTCACAGAACTATTTGAAGTGGCCAACTGTAGGAGGAGCTAAGGTGGGAGGAGTAAGGAGAGGAAGAGGAGAAGCTGGGAGAGGAAGAGAAAAAAGGAAGAGGAGGAGCTAGAGAGGGCAGAGATGTAGGAGGAAGGAGAACCACACAGGTATGGAGAGCAGTTGAGGGTAACAACTTATAATTAGGTTAGCTAATTGGGGTACAACTCTCTTTTTATGGGCATCTTGTTTTTAATCATTACCAAACATATAAAGCCTTTGATTAATCTATAAGAATTAGAGTCTCATTCTCTTACTGGACCTGCATGGATGACGGAATGGTTTGGGCAATGCTCTGCCTTGAGGAGACAGCGTGGAAGATTGGCAGAGCCATCTCTCACGCTGGCATCTCGTGGGTGGCAGGGTGGTGTTTCTGGCCGGCCGGTTCTAGTTGTAGCATGCACGTGGCCTCAGGCTGAGAAACATGGCAGCTGGGCTAGGCAGAGTCGCTGCAGCTTAGATAGTCGGCTTGACCAGAGGCCAGTTTTAATTAATTACCACAACAAAGTGGCGCACCAATTTCGAATTCATTAGAAATTCACTAGAAATTTAAGTCTATTCACCTGAGAGTAAAAGTTGTTTGTTTGTTTGTTTTTTAAGAAAATGAGTGAGTGAGTGATTGGCTCTGATAGGAGTCATGTGACTCCTAGTGTGTGTGGGGGGGTGGGGGGCGGGGGGGGAACCCTGAACAAAAAACTGCAGCTGAACTCCCCGGCTGTGGGGAAATGCAAGTTGCTTTTTGTTAGAAAAAGAAGAAAGTAGCTGACTCTAGAGAGTACAGTGTCTGTGAATTAAAATTGAGGTTATTTGTTTTTAAGATAGATTTAGAAACAGTTTTCTCCGATTCACGTGGGGAATCTCGCCTGCGGTTTGGAACAAGGATAGGTAGAGAAAATTTGTCTGTGGCTCTAGGCACAGAAACACAGACAGACAGGTATACTTTTAACCAAGAGAGCTAAATAAATAAGCCTCTATTGTGGAGCAGTTACTGATTTAAGTATAAAAGTTAAAATATAGGGATTATTTGCTTTTAGGAAAGATTTACAAACAGATTTGTCCAAATCACGTGGGGATTATTGCCTGCGGTTTAGAACTTAGGGAAAATTGTCACTGGCTCTAGAGTAGAGAGTACAGTGTATAAGTGGAAGCTGCTCTGGATTACAGAGCCAAACAGATAGATGGTATAAATAAAAAACTGTTCTAGGCAGAGGGCCAAACAGAAAGATAGTGTAAATCAGATGTAGTCAGATTATATAAAGTTATATTGCCTCACAGGAGACTCAGGTTCTAATGTGGACCCCACGGGAATTCTGGGTTCTTTTCCAGCTTGGCAAAATAGGGAAGGCCTAAAGAACAGGCACATACAGTATTTTAGTTATTAAGTTGATTTTATTTTCAAGATGGGTGTGATTTTCAGTTTTTCAGTTTTATTTTTCCTCTGTGAAAGAGGTCAAGATAAAGGTTTTCTGGTTACTGGCTCAAGGAAATGCTGTTTTGGGAAAAAGCTTTTGTCTGTGTGTTTTCAGAAGAGAGGATTAAGATATTTCTACCTCCCAGAATTATATGGATTAGACATGACAGAGGCAAGCCACCAGAAGACTAGATTCCAGAATTCAAACAAAAATTTACCTTGATACTAAAATTTGTTTTGAGAATTATATATTGCAGAATACACAGCCTTGGTGTATCTACTCATCAAGCAAGCTGAGCAGACCTGCTCGAACCTCTGATGTCCTGGAATTTCAGCTGGATGCAATGAAGACACAGACATCAGAGGCTTATCAATTTACCCTCCCCCCTCTTCTAATATCTCAATGCCCATAATCAGCTTGAAGAAGTTAATGAAGAGTTGGCGCCCCTATTCCCTGGGCTTGGGGACTGAGGTGGTTAATATTAGGCTGTCCTTCTAGGGAAAAGCAATGATTTTATTTGAACAGGGAGGAAGTTAGAATTGATTATTTAGCTATTTAGTAGAAATCTGTATAATTGTTATTAAGCTAAAGTTATATTTCTAAAATGGTACAAAATTTATTTTGATTTCAGATTTAAGGTTTTCGTTGGTACGAGTTTCTTATTGATATATAAGTGAGATTAATATTGTTACTCTCACAGGCATTGTGCCTATATAACACATTTAGGAATACAAAATTTAGACCCAGTCTTTTTTAACTTCTTAAAAACTGATTTCAGATGGTTAGCCTGTGAGTTAAGAGCCTATAGCAATTGCATGGCTCTGAGTTTATTGTTAGAGTGTTTTCTAGATCTTAATTAGAAATAGCAGAAAGGAGTTAACAGACAACAGTCCAGGTTGCTTTACATAGATAGTTGGTTTTCAAAAACATAAGAAGTCCACAGAATTGATGTTATAAGCATTCCTGTATAAACATTCATTTTATTAGAGACCTGTCTGCTCCTGACATCTTCCCTGTCTTGGATTCTAAGAAGAAATTGAGCATCTTTGGAGTTACTCCAGTTGTGGTGAGACAGCCACTAGGTAAGAATTGCCTCTTTTCATCTACAGGCAAAATACAGTCCAGAAAAAGGACACACTTGCAGAATAGTCGACTGATTGTGTCTGCCAAGACAGAGTAATCATCCCTTAAAAATTCTGTATCACTAGGTCTGTCAGATGATCCTGGGCCAGAAGGCTGAAGACCAGATGCTCCAACGTTTTGAGGTTTAGGAACTGTCTAGGTGTTCAGCAGTCTCTAAAAATTGGCTAAGTTTTAGAAGCTATGCTTTGTGCATAGGATTTCAGTTAATTCAGTCATTCTGGATTTCTGAAGGGGTTGAAGACTTACAGTATCATAGCCAACCCAGGCTATTTACTTTGAGAGAATAGATTTGAGAGGATAGTTTTCAGCTGACATTCATCCTAAAGCCAGGTTTAGAACTAAGTCTTTTAGTTAGGAGAGATGACAGAGGTTCTGTTCAGTCAACAAAATGATGGACTGGGTATTAGGTCTATCTTGTACCTTACTGATACAAATTTGTTATAGTTATGCTCTATTGTATTTTGAGAGAAAGTTTTTTTTTTAATTTTAACAGAAAGGGTGATATGTAGGAGGAGCTAAGGTGGGAGGAGTAAGGAGAGGAAGAGGAGAAGCTGGGAGAAGAAGAGAAAAAAGGAAGAGGAGGAGCTAGAGAGGGCAGAGATGTAGGAGGAAGGAGAACCACACAGGTATGGAGAGCAGTTGAGGGTAACAACTTATAATTAGGTTAGCTAATTGGGGTACAACTCTAATTGTATGGGCATCTTGTTTTTAATCATTACCAAACATATAAAGCCTTTGATTAATCTATAAGAATTAGAGTCTCGCCAGGCAGTGGTGGCGCACGCCTTTAATCCCAGCACTTGGGAGGCAGAAGCAGGCGGACTTCTGAGTTTGAGGCCAGCCTGGTCTACAGAGTGAGTTCCAGGACAGACAGGGCTACACAGAGAAACCTTGTCTTGAAAAACAAAAACCAACCAAAGAAACAAACAAAAAAGAATTAGAGTCTCATTCTCTTACTAGGCCCGTGTGGATGGTGGAATGGTCTGAGCAATACCCAGCCTTGCTGAGACAGTGTGGAAGATTGGCAGAGCCATCTCTCACACTGGCATCTCGTGGGTGGTTGGGCTGGTGTTTCTGGTGGGCTGGTTCTAGCTGCTGCGCGCATGTGGTCTCCAGCCAAGAAACATGGCGGCTGAGCTAGGCAGAGCTGCTGCAGCTTAGATAGTCGGCTTGACCAGAGGCTGATTTTAATTATTTACCACAACAGCCAACGTATGGCAGAACAGAAATCGTTTGTTTTTTTTTTTTTTTCTTACTTAGTATTGTTGTTATAAGACAAATGTACCCATACGATCTGTTAAAACTAAGATAAATTTTAAAGTCTTTTTGAAAAATAGCTTCAGTCTGATAAGATGGCTCAGTGAATACGGTTGCTTGCTGCCACGTCTGACCTGTTTGACTCCCAGGACCCACATTAAAAGGCAAGTAGTCCCAAGATCTACATGCATGCCACAGCATGTGTGCAAGTGCACACATGCACACATTAAATAAATAAAAGTAACTAAAGCTTTAAATAAAAACATAGCCTTACATCTTCCAGAGGTATACAACCTTACTAAACACAGGTAATTTTCTCTGTTTTTGTTGCTGTTCTTGCTGTCTCCTGTCATTTTGTTTTCTACTTCCCTGGCAGGTCTGGAACTTGCTATGCAGGCAAGACAGGCATCAAACTCACAGAGATCCACCTGCCTCTGCTACCAACTCCCTGCTTCAGGCAGTTCTCTTCTAAGAATGAAGGGCCACTGAAAGCGCACACATCCTAACAAAGGGTTGTTTCCAACAGAGAATAAAGCAGCAAAGGGTGAGGATGAGACTGCCTATTGCTGCTGGAGAGGAAGCTGCTGTCCTAGGCTTCGAGACAGAAAGGACTGCACATGTTTACAATTCATAGCCTTAACGCCCCACCCCTGCACTTTTTTTTCTTCTTCTTTTTTTTTGAGCTGGGATGTTGCTGGTTTCTTTTAGCTGGGATTACATGCATGCCACCATGCTCAACATAGAATTTACAGCCATACTCTTAATTATGGACCTATGCTAGTATTTAGGGTAAAGAACTAGGAATACAACTCTCTAGCTCTGATTCATTATTTCCTTCTAAAAGAATTACTTTTAAAATCAAAATGCTCGAGATGCTGCCTCCATGGATGTCTGTGCACCACGTGCACCAGTGGACCTGGTGCCCAGAAGAGAGGATTCGACAGCCCAGGACTGGAGCTACAGAGCCAGCACACAGAGGAAGGACTCTTATTGTGAAATACTTATGCACGTGTGTCATGACCTGTCTTGATTCACCGTCGTTTACCTTTGACAATGGAAGTTTCCTAGGAACCTCTCGGGATGGATCCAGGCACCCCTCAGTCATACCCACCTGCAGAACCAGATGTTGCCTCCGGAGATGACGTGCTCTGAGTTGGCTTCTCATTTCTCTGACTTGGTGAAGAGATTATAAGCCTGTCTTGCCCCCTGACACTTATTTCTGTTTTGTTACCAATTCCCTTTAAAATGAGGCAGACAAAAAACAAGTGATTAGCAGGCACGTAGTATTGTGAACTTATAAAGATCTGGCTTAACATGATCATAATTTGCTCAAACTTGTCAATTATGATTAGTCATTATCAGAAAGATGTTATTAGGTCATCAGGATGAATTTATTGAGATCCCTTGAAGGAAAAATAAAAACTTGCCTTAAGTCTAGGTGATAAATATTCTTAATAAATAAACGTGTACTACCCTGTTTTCTGTCACACACAAAAAAGTAATTCCTACTCAGAACAGTTTTTCTTTATACCACTGTCATTTGGTGTAGTTGCTTATTACAAAGGTAGAAAGGTCACTGTGTCTTGAGATGAGAATACCTTGAGATAAAAGAGATATGCCATTTATATTACAAAGTGGGATCAAATAGGAAACATAGAACAGACAGACAATAAGTGCAGTTAATTTAGATTTTAGTTTAGTTATTTTTTAATGTAATGAAATAAGAGAAATTTTAAGTGTTATATTTATGTTTCAAAAGATCAATTTGTTCTTTAAGATTTATTTTCACTGTATATGTACGAGTGTTTGCCTGCACTTATGTGTACCACATGTATGTCTAGTACCTGCAGTAACTAGAATGTGGCCTTCGATCCGCTGGCGCTGGAGTTATATATAAATGGTTGTGAGTCTCCATTTGGGTGCTGGGACCCAGATCTATGCAAGAGCAGCAAGTGTTCTTAAGGGCTGAGTAGTCATCTCTCTAGTCCCAAAAGATAAAAGTTTTACCTTGAATTTTCTTTAATAGTCTTAGGGTGTTGAGGACATTTTTTCATACAGAAGCAAATAAAACTAGCTCTAAGAATAAAGGCAATTTGCATTCAAACAATATGCAAATATTGTTATCAAAGAATCACATTGGGGCTAGAGATGGTTTGATGCCTAAGAGCACCTGCTGATAGTTTAGGGGACTAAGTTCAGTTCTGGCAAGGAAAAGAAGTGAGAAAGAGGGAAGTAGGGGATGAGAGAAAGAAGGGAAAGGAGAAAGCAAAGGGACAACATGGAGAGAAATCAAGTGGAAACTAATTTAGGCTTTTCTGGGAAACTTTGCCCTATGGAGATCAATTAAACCCACTGGCAGAAAGAATAGATACAAGACTCCTGATATTTTTAAAACCAGTTCTAAGAATGAAGCATCACTGTATTTAATCAATTATTTTAGTGTCTATATATGTCTATGCTAATGAAGAAAAAATATATAATTCCTTAATATACACATGCAGGTGATGCAATTAAATCAAAATCACAAGCCCCCAATTATGAAGTGGCCTGGAAGGTATGTACATATTTCAGTGTTATGAAGAATTCTGACACCTTCAAACCAAAAACTAACTGCCTGAAATGGAAACCCAGGGTGGACTGATGGAGGTTTACACAGAAACCCAGGGTGGACTGATGGAGGTTACACAGAAACCCAGGGTGGACTGATGAAGGTAACACAGAAACCCAGGGTGGACTGATGGAGGTAACACAGAAACCCAGGGTGGACTGATGGAGG